AAAAAAAAGAAGCTTTAAAAGCGGAAACCCCGTAAAAATATATAAATGTAAAAAGCAGAAAGCTGTGGTTCATTATTAGATACATATGCCTGAGTTGTTTCAAACGGGGGCCGCTATTCTATAAGACAGTGTAAAAGGGCGATCTGCGAATGCATTAAGACAGCGTATAACGGACCCGCATTGAATTTACCTATCAGTCTATTCCCACAAGAGACACATTTCAAGATGCTTGGTTGCGCATAATTGTGACAGTTCGATTTTGCTAGAGCAGGATCCACCTTACTTTGTCCGCCCTTCCCCTAGCCAATCGGACTGGGAATGAAGTCTGACAATGACTGATAGGCATTTGACCCAGTTGTGAAAAAAAAATCGGCGGCCTCGATGAGATTTGAACGCACGCCAGCAAGAAAAAGGCTTTCGTTCAACCAACGCTCTAGCAAACTGAGCTACGGGGACCCCACCGGCAGCTGCGAACGTAATCGCCCTTGACAGTACTAAAGCCTTCCCCTTGTTGGTGCGTGTGTTCGAATTCCAACGAGGCCGCCGAATTTTCCACAATTGGTTCAAAGTAATTATTAAAATCTACCAAAACCCTTTACCAATGATTAATATGATGTGATTGATAGGCACACTACAAACCGCAGCGGGACCAGAGGAAGGTTTCGGCAGGCGCCTTGGGAAGACGCGCTTACAGTGTCTAAGAATTCATGGAAAGGCCATGACGAAGTTTGATTGGGTAGTTCAGCATACATGTGGATCAAAAGAGTTTATTTAATCCAGAGGAAGTTTCTTAGTAAAGAAAACTGGGTAGTTAGTTCAGTTTATTGAAGGTATTATGCAGAACTATAAGGTAAATCGGGAGTAACCTGATATCGAAGAAATTGTTTATGCCATTAAGTAGTAGGGCACCGAATCCTTTATTTTTTATGCATAGCACTATAGAAGAATCCCAAAATATACAAAAAGTTGGAATTCCTTTGAGAGATACGATTGGCCGGAGGGGTGCGCTCTCTTTGTGCACCTTGAGGAGACCATAGAAGCGGGCCAGACCCGTTTCTTGCAGCTCACCCGACGGGACCCGGCCATATTTTCAAGTTTAACGAGGCCG